GATCTTGAGTGTGTGTGTGTGTGTGTGTGTGTGGTGTGTGTAGGGCTCCTGCAGAGGAGCTGTGGTATGTGGGGTCCCCCTCCCTCTTTTCTCCCCAGAGAGGATCTGATTCCCCCTGAATTTTCTAAATATCTGGAAGCAAGGCCTCAAATGCACGACCCTGTCTTCTCAGCATAACTCTTCCTAGGTTTCTCAGTCCATTTTTAGTTGCTCATAACTCAACACCACAGTCTGGGTAATTTATAAAGAAAAGCTTATTTTTAGTTCATGGTTCTAGTCCAGAGTTGAGAGGTGCCATCTGGTTGTTTGCTGGCAGAGCTGGAATAGGCACAGGGCATCACATGTCCAGAGAAAGGAAGTGCCAGAGAGACTTAGCCAAACTGGCTAAGTTTAAAATAACCCATTAATCCATTAATCCATGGATGCATTAATCCATTCATGAGGGTAGGGCTTACTCACCTCTTAAAGGTCCTGCTTGTTGATATCTCATAACGGAGCAGATAGATGCCCATGGCAGGGAGGAATCTCTTGATATACCCTCATTTAAGTGGCTAAGCCTTTGAGATAGTAAGATTTTTTTTCCCCCTAACCAGGTCTTTTTTTTCTTAAAAACATATTGGTTAGCCCACTTATCAGATGTTGGTGCTGTGGGGACAAGATAGAAATGATTCCTGCCCCTGGATTCCTTGTGAAGGGATAAAACTATCCCAAAGGACTAGGAAAACCCACCCCAATAAGATGGTGCCATTTCCTTTCTTTTCCTGAAAGGGAAAATTCACTTTGGGCACACAGCAGGGAAGTCTGATTCCCTTGGAGGGTGGATATTGAGCATGTCAGTTAGCAGGATGGAAGGTGAGGGGAAATGTCCTGTGTGGTAGGATGGATTGATTGAACACCAGCACTGCACTCCCTAGCCTTGTCATTTAGGAAAGATTTACTTCTTTGAGCCTCAGTTTTTCAGTGGAACTTGAGAGGTAAGACAAAATATATTCAAAGAAGCAAGAAAGAGGTGATTTCAGAAAAAATTAAATATCTAGCCTTATCCTTTCCTTTAAATTTTTTTATTAACCTTTGTTCTTCTCCATATTGTGTGTAGTACATTTCCCAGATCTGGTCTTATCTTTTGGTTGACTTCAAATGGGATAATAGGACTTAGCCTTGAGAATGCTGCTGGGGATGAGAATCTCAGAGACATGGGGAAAATCACTGTTCCACAGTGGCTGCAGAGAAATAAAGACATTTCCACCAGAAGGTATGGTAGGTAGATTAGTGGATGACAAAGACTCACCGAAACTTGAGTTTGTCTCCATTCCTGGGTGAGGAGCTTGGGACAGTGAACAGTGAACACTGTTCTCTTTTCTGGTACTTAGACTTAAGAGGCAACGTCCAGAAATATTCAAATATAATTAGTGCTAGCTAATTTGTTGCATGGAAATGATAATTAAGTTACATTGTAATTGTCTAAAGGGATAGACACTTGTGCTTTTGCAGTTGAGCTACGATGGATAAGTGCCTTAGAATTCTTTACCTCCTATATATATAAACAAAGCCTAAGTGATTTTAATAGATTCCTCAAACACTGGGTATTTTCTCCCTTAAAAGTAAGTGAATAGTGTTGGTCAAGGAGGAGTTCCGTGCCCAGTGACTTCATGTTAAGGCCAATGCTGAGTCTGCAAATGGAAGTCAGGAAGGCCCAGTTGTTTATTCCTAGGAACCTGCCTTGCTGGTGTGTGACAATGCAGAGCCCTTGGTACCGAGAGACACTGAAAAAACAAAATAATCCCCACTGTTATGTTGAACTATAGTGCACTCATAAAAACATTTTTTTAAAGTCATTTACCATTTAAAAAAAAGATACGTGGGTATCTTTCTAGGCTCTCTGTCACATTCTATTGCTCTAGATCTCTGTTTTCATGCCGTCACCAGATTGTTTTGATTACTCTACCATTGAATAAGAATTTGAGGATTTCAACACCAATATTCATTCATAAGGGACAGTTGACCGTAGTTTTGTTGTTGTTGCTGTTGTTAGCCTAATTTTGGTCTTGTAGGATAAATTTGGAAATGTTACCCTTCAGTGTTTTTGGATGAGTTTGAGTAGGATTGGGGATTATTCTTCCTTAAATGTTTGGTAGATTTTCCAGTGAAACTGTTTGGTTCCAGACTTTCATTTGTTGGGGATAAGGTTGAGGTTGATTACTTTATCAGCCTCCTTATTAGTTGTAGGTCTGCACATATTTTTTATTTTTTCATGACCCAGTCTCAGTAGAGTGGTGTGTTTCTAGACATTTTTACGCTCCATTCAGGTTACCCTATTTGTTGGTGTGCCCCTGAGACTTCTTAAATAAGGTGTGAAGCATGCAGTTCTGTCAGTTTTATTCTACTGTTGTTATACAGGAGCCCCACTCATGTCATGGTAAACTGTAGGGGAAGGCAGAACATTGCATGGATGTGTTTTGACCTCATTTTTTAGGATGCCTGTGTTCCTGGGTTGTGACTTCCGTAAGTACTCTTCATCCTTATGCCTTAGTTGAGGAGGAAGGTTCCAGAGGGGTGGAGCTGGATGGTATGCTTCCCCAGAGGTTTGGCTCTTGCTGTGATTTGGATGTAGTTTGAGTGTCCCTCAAGGCTTCATGTGTTGAAATTTAACCTCTACCCTTAGGAATTAAGAGTATAGACACTTAACCTCACTGTAGTATTTAGAGTTAGAGCCTTTTGGAGGTGATTAGGTAATCAGAGTGGAGCCCCCATGATTGAATCCTTTTGGTTTCATCACCAGAGGGAGATAAAGCAGAACATAAACACACACACACACACACACACACACACACACACACACACACACCCCTACATCTTGTCTTTTGCTGTATAATGCTCTGCACTGTCTCAAGACTCTGCTTGCAAGAAGGCCATCACCAGATGTAGGCTCTTTACTTTGTATTCTCATAACTTTGAGCCAAAAGAAGCTGCTGCTTTTTTTTTTTTAATAAAGTAGCCTGCCTTAGTAACATAAAGCTCTGGTAACATCCCCATTGATAAGGCCTTTGAGAAATTGTTTTGAAGACTGGACTTAAGAACACATTTCTGTGGGCATATTTCAAAATGACTACTTTTATTTTCTTCCTGCTCAAAGCAGGAAACAGTTTTTAATCTGACCATCACAATGAGAACTGTAATGTTTCTGGAGGTAGAACTCATAAATGAAGGGGGACTTCCTAAGAATGGGCCCCCTCTACTTTTCGCCTCTCAAACTTGTGTCCATTCAATTCAGACTTCAGCAATTCATCAATATGGTTTAGTTCACATTTTCTTTTGTTCTTGTTCTTTTCTTGTTCTCCCTCCCCATCCTCTTATATATATTTTTTACCCTCTGTAATGCTTCACAGAGGTTTCTGCATACAGGTTTTTATTCCAATAAGTTATGATTCTTTTATTAGATTGGTGGGGTCTTTCCCAAAATCCAGATTCTGAATGCTATCAAAGGTCAATACCAGAAGAATGTATGTATGATGTATCAAAATGCATTCTACTGTCATATGACTAATTAGGACAAATAAAAAGGTCAAATATTGAAAGAGACTGTTCTAAGGATATGCAGTCTCAGGACTGCTAATGGTAGGCCCTTCAGTACACCAACACTTTGCTATGACAGGGACTGTAGGTCTTCGGTTCAAAGAGACATTAAGGGTGATCCAAGCTGCACATCTTACTCCATAAACTCATCAATGAGGGGTGTGTTCCTGTTCATCCATTGCTTTATGCATGGTTCAAGTCTATCACCACAATTGCTGTGTTGGAGGATGTGAGAGTGAATAAAGGGTAAATCTGATTACCAAGTCATAGAATAAATATTTTGAGTCCACAGCATCATGTAAACCTATTATGATTTCAGTGTAGATCAACAGTGTTGAGTCTTACCCTTCCTATATTAAACATGTGGGATGTTTTAGGACTTAATGACCTTTGAGGATGTAGCAGTGAACTTCACCCTGGAGGAATGGGCTTTGCTGGATCATTCCCAAAAGGATCTTTACAGAGAAGTGATGCTAGAAACCTTCAGGAACCTGACCTCTGTAGGTAAGGGTGATGTCTTTTCCTCACTTAATCAATTAGAGAACAAGTATTTTTTGCTCATCAATGCTCTTTGGTGATTTGGAATGTAGAAAAAATTATATTGCTGAACAAGTCAAGCATGGTCAAAGAGTATCATGAATAGAGACTAATAATTTTTTTATAATGTTGTAATGACAACATTATAAACAACATTTTATAATGTTTTTATAATATTGTAATAACAATTATTTTCCTTTTTTTTCCCTTTTGATTGATTGATGATTTTTGAGATGGGGTATTTTATGTTGCCCAGGCTGGTCTTGAACTCCTGAGTTCATGTGATTCTCCCACCTCATCATCTTGAGTAACTGGGGCTACAAGCATTCACTACCATGTCCAACTCATAATGATTTTTCTGTGTTTGAATTTTAGGAATACAATGGGAAGACCAGAACATTGATGATGAACACAAAAATTTTAGAAGAAATCTAAGGTAATTTGTGGGCTGGGGATGTGGCTTAAGTGGTAGCGTGCTCGCCTGGCATGTGCGCAGCGCTGGGTTCGATCCTCAGCACCACATACAAATAAAGATGTTGTGTCTGCCAAAAAATAAATATTAAAAAATTCTCTCTCTCTCTCTTTAAAAAAATAAGAAATATAAGGTAATTTGTACTAGCAAGAGAAAGCAGTGTCCCTGGAGAATCTTAAAATGACAGCAAATTTTAAAAATGAGAAATTAAACTTCAAATTTATTTATTTTTATAAAATTTTTTCTAAAACTTAAATGTGACATACATATGTTTGCAAAATAGTTCACTTGAAAACAGTATTAAGTAATGCAGTGTGGGTGTCACTGTTTTCATAGAAGTTATGGTCTAGCCATTGGCAAAGCGTTCAGTTCATTCATGTTCAGAAGATCCAGGCAGGGCATAAAGCCTATATTTTCACTGATAATGTTAAAAATGTAAATTCAGTATCTGTAAATAAATATAAAATTATTAGTAAACAAACCTTTAGTAATGTGCTTCTCATTTTTTGCAGAAGTCAAGTGATAGAGAGACTATGTGGATATAAAGAAGGTAGTCCATGTGAAGAAATCTTCAGCCAGATTTCAGATCACATTGTGAAAAAGAAAACTCCTGCTTTAAAACCATATGAAAGCCCTGAAGGTGGAGAAGTGACCATTGGTCATTCATCCCTTAATGGGCATATCACATCTGATTTTGGACATAGACTATATGAGTATCAGGGAAAATCCTATGAACATGAAGAACATGATGAAATCTTTAACTGGACCAATCTCATTCAAAACTATGAAATAACTCATACTGGGGAGAAACCCTATGAATGTAAGCAACATGCAGAAGCCTGTAGGAGCTCCAGTTATGTTCAGATACATGAAAGAACTCACAATGGATTAAAACTCTATGAATGTAAGCAATGTGGGAAAGCCTTCAGGAGTTCCAGTTATGTTCAGATACATGAAAGAACTCACAATGGAGTGAAACCCTATGAATGTAAGCAATGTGGGAAATCTTTCAGCTGTTCCAGTTATATTCGAATACACGAAAGAACTCACACTGGAGAGAAACCCTATGAATGTAAGCAGTGTGGGAAAATGTTCACTTATCTCCAGAGTGTTAGAAGACACATGATAATGCACAGTGGAGATGGACCATATAAATGTGAGGTATGTGGGAAAACATTTCATTATCCCAGTTTATTTCGTATACATGAAAGAACACACACTGGAGAGAAACCCTATGAATGTAAACAATGTGGTAAAGCCTTTAAGTGTCCCAGTTCTGTTCGAAATCATGAAACAACTCACTCTGGTGAGAAACCCTATGAATGTAAGCAGTGTGGGAAAGCCTTCAGTTGTCCCAGTTACATTCGAATGCATGTAAGAACACATGCTGGAGAGAAACCTTATGAATGTGAGGAATGTGGGAAAATATTCACTTGTCTCAAAAGTGTTCGAAGACACATGATAATACACAGTGGAGAGAGACCTTATAAATGTAAGCAATGTGGGAAAGCCTTCAGTAGTTCCAGTTATGTTAGAATACATGAAAGAACTCACACTGGAGAGAAACCCTATGAATGTAAGCAGTGTGGGAAAGGCTTAAGTAGTTCTAATTCCTTTCGAAGACATGAAAAAATTCATACTGGAGAGAAACCTTATGAATGTAATGAATGTGGGAAAGCCTTCAGGTGTCAAAATTCCTTGTATAAACATGGAAAGACTCATAGCAAAGAATAATTGTACAAGTATAAGACGTGATAAAGTCTTCTGTTGTTTCAGTCATGAATACGTAATGAATTTAATACTGTACAGACACCCTGTGGATGTAAGGGATGTTGGAAAATATTCTCTTGTCCCAGTTCCTTTTGTAAGAATGAAAGAACTGATCCTGAGGAGAAATCCTACCTAAGGAATGCAGGAAAGCTGATAATCTCACAGCCTTTCTAACACACACAAGAATGCATGTGTAGAGAACTACTATGAATGGAGTTTGGAAAAGCTTTTAATCCTCACAGTTCAATTCAAAGCCATGGAAGAACGCACAGGGAAAGAATATGAATGGTATTCAAATGTCTTCAGTTGGCTTATGTCCTAACAGCATGTACAAATGTACATTGGGGCTGGGGATGTAGCTTAGTGGCAGAGCATTTGCCTAGCATATGTGAAGCCCTGAGTTTGATCCCCAACACTGAAAAAACTAAACCAACCAAGGAAATTTCAATTTAACAAGCATTTCCAAGATTTTTGTGGAAACTACCAATGTTTTGAAATTATATGTATCAAAGAAATATAAAATGCTTGATACAAACTAATTTGGGTATATTGCTCACCAGAAATCATAATTTGAAGGAAATGTTATAAAAGCTGTACCTTTATTAATAATCTTTATCAGTGACTTTCTCTTAAAGTAGATCTCTCTGCTATGGATTTCAAAATCTTATTCTCACAAAGAAATGTTGAACTGAGATAATTCTGTAAGTACCCTTGAATTAATGAGTTCAATAGGTATTTTTTTTCTCTTATGCCAGTTAATAATTTTTTTTCTCATTCATTTTATATATGTAAGTTTGTAAGATTCCTGAATGAATTGAGATGTAGTTCTATTATGCAGTAGATCTGATTTTTTTTATATAGTTTTAAATTATTCTGTGGTTAATGGGACATTGAAAAATTAGTCTTTGTTAATAGTTGAGTGTTTTGTCAGGTATTTTGGTGTTTGTTGAATCAGGGTCTTGTTATATCATTCAGGCTGGTCTTCAAACTCTTGGGTTCAAGGGTTCCTCCAGCCTTAGACTTCTGAGTAGCTGGGACTACAGGCATGCACCACTGTGCCCACAATTATTGAGAGTTTTGTCACTGAATTGGCAGATTTGGGATATCCCTTTTCTATCATATACTTTCTACCCTTCTTTATTATGGGGAAAAAATTGGTATAGTGAAGTTCATTCTCTTCTCATTGCTAATAAATAATTGGCATTAATTTGTAAATATGTCAAGTTTATTATAAGTTCTGTGTGAATTTAATCTGTTACCCTTTACTCTGTTATTTTTTCTGTTAGATGGATGATTGACTTTGGGTTAAAGAGGAAGGACAATAAAAACCTAGGGTGGGAGAATTTTTCTGGATTGAGTTATGTGCGTGTGAGAAATGTTGGGAACTAGTATTTTCCAGATTCCCTGTCCTTTATGGTTCTGTGTTAGAATACACTAATAGACTGTGAGATAGCCTTAAGTCAAGTTTTGCAGACATCATACCTGGAGATAGCCAGATGTGTTAGGTCAGAAAGATACCTTCTTCCAGTTCCCTTTCCTGACTTTTTGAATTATCACTCAAGAGTATCCCCCAAACTACCATTGACTATTGCATTTCTATTTTCTCAGTTTTGTAGGTTGCACATATGTCTCTAGAAGTTCCACGTTACAGGTACATTCACAGTTTGCATTTTCCTGCAAGCCCTGTGTGCACCAGACAGATCAGACTGTCACTGTTGGGAGTATTCTCGGATGCACTAACTCCAAAGTCTATAGATACAGTCTAATCTAATTACATAGACCTTTTATTGCATAGTAAACAACTCTGTTCATATTGGGAATGAGTTTTCCTGATTCTGGTTGACAGCTACAAGTGTGCAGTCAAAACAACTACATAGGGCTTGTTCTACCAAACAAAATTTCCAGGCATGTTTCTTAGAAATAGTTTATTAACTGGTATCCAGCAATCTGCATACTAATAAACCAGGACTTCCTTTTAAATTTAGGAAAGGAAAGGGCATTACTGAGGGCTTTCTTTAGAAGTTAGAATACCAAAAGAGAGGATGTTAGACATGGAGAAATAAATTGGAAAAGCATTTGGAAGGGAAGAAGGACGTAGTAGTTCTAACAAGACATATTTTCAAGGAAATGCTTCTGAAACCTTTTGCGTTTTATCTTTTTTTTCACCTCATAGTCCAACCCTACTTTGATGCCTCCTTTAGGTCTGGACAATCTTCTAGATCCTTCTCTGTTCCTTGCATGACACCTCTGCAGTGAATCTCTAAAATCCCTTTTTGTGCCTGGACCCTGCACAAAAAGGGATTGTTCTTGGGCACTGTCTCTAGATCCACAAATGAATTCCTGGGACCTGGATCCCTCCATTCCCCACTCCAAGTCACTGATAGCCACCCAGACCCTCAAGCCCTTTTTCATGTCCTTGAGTTGACCCAAGACACAGAATCCACCTTGAAAGTTTAGATCCCAACCCACATCATCAGATTCTGCCTTGAGATTCAGAACTCCACCTCTGGCCACTCAAGCTCCTCAACTTGCTTCCACTCTCTGACTTACCAGCTGGCTGTGCAGCCTCTGGAGGTGGCCTCCGGTGTAGCCTCCTGCCTATGGGTGATGGGAAAAGAGAAAAGATCCTATTGTAATGGATGGGGTTCCCCCTCTTCTCTCTTGCTTCTCCTCCCCCCTCATCTTTCTCCCACTCACTTGCAAGTCCAAAATCTCAGGAGATCTCAGGTTACTGCTTGAGTGCTCTCCTGGCAGAACACTAAAGACTAGCCAAAGGAGGCTTGGTGAGCAGGTTCTTGTAGGCCTGCTGCTCCAGCTTCAGCCTGAGAATTGCAGAAAAGGGATGGGGTGGGGCTGAGCAGAAGAGGGGCTGTGCTGTAACTGGAGCTGTTCAGGTGCTACCAAGAGGAAAGGTGAAGCAGGTCCCAGGAGAGGCACAGCTTGTAGGTTTAGCTCCTCAGGAAACTGAGGCAGGAGGATTGAAAGTTAGAGGCCATCAACTTGGTGAGATTGTCTCCAAATTTAAAAAGGACTGGGTATTGTGATAGAGCACTGGCCTACCATTCGAGACATCCTGGGTTCAATCCCCAGTACAAAAATGTGGGAGCAGGAAACAAGCTGGACTGAGAGCCAAGAGTAGCCTGGGGAATGCAAGGCTGAGGTCAGGGGTGGGGTGGGTGGGCTGAGCCAAGACTGACAGGAGAATCACCCGAAAAGGGGATGGAAGTCAGGAAAAGGGGATGGAAGTCAGGCGGCAGGGTGAACAGGAAGCGTTGGTCCACTTGGAGTTTAGGGCCCTGAAAATGAGATTGGTAGAGCTGAGATCAGGGAGAAGGGGTGAACTGCTAGATGGCTGGGAGGAATCATGGAGGGGAGGGAGGGTCCCTGGAGCTGGGATGACCCAGAAGGGGTTTGCTTTGGCAAGAAGAATGGGGATGACCTATGGGTAGGCATGGCCAAGCCAAGAAGGGGCGGCCTTTGACTGGGGGCGGAGCTGAGCCAGAAGGTGCAAATGAGGCAGGGAGTGCAGGGCTGAGGGGGTGCCCTAGCACCCACAGTCCTAGCCCTGCTAGCCCAGCAACAGCTGAAATAAATCTAGGACAGCACCCGACACCACACTCTTGAGTACCTGGCTAAACATCGACCAGATACAATGAGAGCCTTGGAGAGAACTAGGGAGATTGAGGTCAGGTGGAAGTGAGTGGGTAGGGGATTGGAGAGGGACTCAGGGAAAACCAGTGAGTTGAAGTCTTCAGATGCTCCAGGGTAAAGGTCTGGGAAGGGAACCGAGAAGGAACAGGAGTTGGGTCAAGAAACGTTTTTAGGACAGGGAGAAGACAAGGACACAACCTGGGGACCTGTATTGCACAAGCGTTCTGGCCAGGTTGAGGGCAAGGGATTGATAGTGAGGAACTTAAAAGGGTGGGCCCAAGGCTTCTAGTCCACATCTTATGTCCTGTGGGGACACCTGACAGGTGACTGGAACAGGGGAGAGGCCAAGGATCACGGTGGGAGCCAGACATTATAGTATGAAGGTATCACAGGCCAGCTGTGGACACCTGAGTGAAGACAAGGGCAAGTGCCTGAGGGTGGGTGTAGCTGAGTGAAAATTGGTAAGATAAATGCCACGTGGGGTGACCTGTGTAGGAACCAGGTAAAGGTGTGGTAGGAGGACACTCCCCTGCACAGAGCATTGCCTCACTCACCCCTGGGAGCTGTCTTATCCCCATCCTGTGTGTGAAGGTGTCCAGGTGAGGCACTGCTGCTCCCCACTCCTGTCTCGGTGCACAGGTGGAACACAGAAGAAGAAGAGGTGTGGCTGAGAGGAGGGATGTCCAGGTGACGTGCTGATCCCCAAATGAGGATCTGGGGAGGGGCTAGGCTGGGAGTCTGAGACACCATGATATTAGTACAGTTGTTACCTGAGTGTAGTTTCCTGCAATGGGCTCAGGCTGCCATAGGTTACAGGCAGGTGGTAGTCTCCCCCAAAGAGAGGTAGGCTAGGGTCTGTCAAGCCAGGGGATTGGCCTCCTTATTCCTTCCTATTTCTTTCCTCCAACACTCATTTTCACCATGTGCCTCTGCCACTGTCCAGATTCAATCTTGCCACCTCTCTCCAATCTCGTGTCCTCTCTGAGATTTACCAGCTAATGTTACCTGCGTAGAAACATCCATCTCTGCATCATGACAAAGCAACTGATGACTTCCCTTCTCAGCCATCACTCCCCCTTATGAAGGTGACCCCCACCTAAGCTGCACCTTACCTCTGGCCTACTTTCCATTGTACAGCCACCCGCCTGTAGCATAGTCCTTTGGCAGCCACAGCATATTAGTTCAATTCACAAAAGCATTGGCTTCGCCTAGACAAGCCTTCAAGGCAGGGCTGCCCTGTGCTATGTGGACACAGCCCTTGCTGTGGGGTTTGTAAGATTATAGTCTTACCCTCCTTATCTACAGATAGCATTCTGTGGTTTCAGGTACCATGATTATCATGGTCTGAAAATATCAAATGGAAAATTTCAGAAACACTCATAAATTTTAAATTGTGTGCTGTTGTGAGTACCTTGATGAAACCTTGTGCTCTCCTGTGCCATCAATCATTTCACTTCATCTCATCAGGTAGTCATTGCATGATGCCACATCATCACTAGAAGAAGGGTGACTACGGAATAATGTGGCACACTGAGAAAGTGACCACATTATTATGATATTTTTACAGTGTACTGTTATAATGGTTCTATTTTATTCTTAACTATTGTTAATCTCTTACTATGCCTAATTTGTAAATGAAACTTTATCATAGGTATGTATGTATAAGAAAAAAACACTATATATATATTGTTAAGTACTATCCATTGTTTCAGGCATCCACTGGGGAACATATCTATATCTTGGATATGTTTATTGTAGAGGAACACACTGCTCATGTTAGACTGGCTGGTATCACCAGGATGATGGGGATAGGATAGAAGTTGACTAAGGAGAGAGGCAGGGCTATGCAGTTTGACCAGAAGACCCTGAGCACATACATTGCCCAAGAGAAACCACTCTTACACTTCCAGCTCTAAATTGCCCTGGTCCTGGGAAGTCTTCCAACTCTCCCATTCTGGGTTCCCCCAGCTCCTGTTCTTCTTACCCGTGCCTTCATCTGTGCCTGACTCTTCATTGGATCGAGTGTCTTGAGGGAGGAAAAAAATGTCTGACTCATCTGAAATCTAAGAGACTGGAACAGAGAGTATGTTTGGAATGAATGAGTGCTGTAGACCTAGGAAGAGGAATGCACAGAAAGGGAATCAGAAGGGACTTGGTTGACAGACCCAGCAACTACTGTGTGCCACATATTCTACATGCATTAGACTTGATGTCCACACATATTGATAATGTATTAATGTATAGGAAACTAAACGTCAAAAAATGTCACTTGTCCCACTTCAGAAAGCTGTCACCAGATTCAGAGTGTTATAAACAGTTAAGGAGACTATCACACAGATAGGAAGAGAGACAACCAAGTGCTGGTCAATCAGATGATATCTTGGTGACAGCCAGGACTGTGCAGACCTACTATGGCATCTATACTTGATTACTTCTTTCTGAGCCTCAGTTTCTACTTTCTTAAAGTGAAGTTGACCAGATGACCACTCTTAGATGTGAGGTTATGTTATGATTCTTTGTCATCTTAAGTGTCCAGTGGACTAGACTCTGGCTTTGGGAAGACA